GTGATGGGGCTGCCGCATTACCAGGGCCTCATGAGCAGGTTTCGGGATTATGTTGCCTTGCTCAAGGGCACCTCGGCAGTGCACAGGAGCTGAAACTGGCACCTCTCCAGCTACCAGTCCACACTCCATATTTTGTGGTCTGTGGGACTTGAAACAGCGACCCTCCGGTTCCCAAGCCAAATCCCTACACACTGAGCTACTGCCGCAATAGGGCACAAAAGGATGTTTTTGACTGCTGTCATTCACAGAGAAAACATCTGGTTTTATAGCAGATACCTTATCAAGATGCCTGGATTGGTCCTGTGGATCTGCTCAAGGCATTTTTTCTTTCATTGTGTAGGGGTGTAGATTATTTTTTTTATAATTTTATCTTTTGGTATAGGGGACTCGACATTAGCACGCACCTGCTCACAAGTTTACAAGTTTCCTGTTCATGAGTATCATCCCAGCTTGGATTATACTATGATATTAAAGCATGGAACACAAGTAAGCTGGGTATTCATGTCCCTGTATACATGATTCGATTGCAGCGGGAGAAAGAGCATCACCCCTACTAGTGTCCCTGTGCAGTCTGCTTGTAGATCCCTCTCATTATTAGAGTATTGTGCTGTTTGAGCAGTGCAGCACAATTTGGATGTCAGTGTGACAGACTTTTAAAGGCAAATTAATTACAAGAAGTCCTTCCCTTTGGTTCACAGTGTCTATGTCTAAACACGTCCCTGCTTGCAGTGATCTTTGTAACACGGTGTGAATTATTTGGTGTGTGCTTTACCTGAACAGAGACAGAGTCTGCCAGCCTTCTGACGGTCACTGTGTGCAGACGTCCATCAGCCAAGTTTGTGACTCTGCTCCACAGCACCTCCACGTCTCTGCTGCTGTGCAACTTGTACCTTAATTCCAGCTCATCTTTGCCAACACAAAACAACAAAATAATCGTACTCTTTAATGCAAGCACACGCAGAATAATTCAGAAAAGTCTTCAAAAAGATTAAGAGAATTCCTGAAAGTGTTTTCTTTTGTTACTAAGATAGTCTTAATTTTAGTCAAAGAGCCAATGTTTCATTACTTTACCTTAATGTTGTAAGTTAAATCTGAGGTAACACCAATATAACAGATGTAGAGTAGAGGTTTATTTCTCCCTACGGGGCAATTTGACTTATTGTTAGAGGTCACTTAATAATGAATATTGGTTGTAAGATATAAAACAGATACAAGCTGTTTCTAAAAACTGTAGAGGTAAACTATACAAGCATCGACTTAACAACAACAATAAACCAGCAATACAGGAATTACTGTCTTCAACGCTAAAAATGCAAGATAATCTGATCTAATCTTTACAATATTGCTGACTGGTACAAATATTTCCAAGAAAAAGACCCAAGAAAAAAATGCAACTAGTCTGATAATTAATTAAGCACTTAAGCCATTTTACTCCAATGTTTCCACACTCTTAGCTCTTAGTAGACTTAGGCGAGGAGTCTTCACTCCTTCAAAGAAAGGAAGCTTCATCCAGATATCTGATGTTCCAAGATACCAGCTGCTGAATTAAGAAGCTACAAACCAGTTAATACTGCAAGGATTAATACTTTATCTCTTTAAATAAAACTCCATGATATAAAATTAATTTTCAATTTTTTTAGTGTTACACATAATAAATTCCACTGTGCTGAGATAATTTAAATGCTCTAAGATGTCTGCAGACTTTACAGATGAGCAGTAATGACAAGAAATAATATTTTTTCCAAACACATACTTAATGCTATCGCTATGTTTCTGTGTTTTTTCAAACGCAGACTAATAGGGAGCAATTTCCCTATATTATGAGCACATCTTGATAATAAAAACAGTTTTGCAGAGGGCAGAGGGGGTTTCAGGCTCTCAGTGAGTGACTTAGACTGAGGCTTCTGTTACTGCAGCAGCAAAAAAGAGAAACGTGAGAAAATCCTTTTTGAAGCATCCAAAAGAAACCTCCCTCTGGAATTTAATTAGATACGTTAGAAAGAGTGTGGCTACCTGAAGACAACTTGATCAACTATTCAGAACCCACTGTTCCTCTGTTTTCTCTCAGTCACTTAAAAAGCTGAAAGTTTTACCCAGTGGGTTTAATGGATACCTCCAATTATTTTTATTAAAGGTTTCAATTTTCTACATTATGCCAATATAATGGATTGATTACAAAAGAAATATCCAACAGCTGAACTCCACTTAATGCTAATTAAAAAGGAATGTCTAATACAGCTATATTTACAAGTTACAGACACTGCATAATGGAAAATCCTATTATACGACACAGGAATGCTGGAATTGCTCCCTGCCAACTGAAGCTATGTGAAGCTTGCGGTGAAACGAGTGATGAAAATGTGAGCACAATAAATAATGACAGTGGCAAAAACAAGGGAAAGAAAGGCACCCGTCAAAAACAGAATTTTCATTTAAAAGTAACTGCACCCAATGTTTAAACCTGACACTGTGCATAACAATTAGCTTGGCTGCATGGAGAAGAGGAACGGTAGACTGAATCAAGAGGAGAAGAGAGGACAGTTGAATTTAGGAAAATGCAGGAAGGATAAGATAAGAGAGGGTTCTTGCAGTTAAATTTGGCCAAAACGAGACACAAATCTTTTTCATTGTCCTCACCATGTTCGTTGATGAGCAGGGCAAGGTATTCCCTGTAGAAAGAGTTGATGTAGAGCAGCAGAGCAGGACTCTGACTGGTCCTGAAGCTCAGGGAGATATTTTCTCCTCTCAGCGTCATATCAGAGTAGATGGAGGAAGGCATGGCACTGCTGTTCCTGCTCAGTTCATAGGGCTCCTTAAGGATGTAGATGATGGACGTTGTCGACTTAAAGCTGGCTGAAACCTCTGAAAGTTAGAAAATTACAGTATTTGGATGCGTCAGTTGTGGAGCTCTGAACTTCTCTAATGTCGCTCTGTATTGCATCTGCAAATCTGTAAAAATACTTTTGTTTTTATATGTTGAATGTTCTGGAAATATAATAAAATGTATTTGCAGTTGAGTTAATATCATCAGAAATTATTAGTGTTTCTTTAACGTGGACTCCACATGCATGAAACTGATAAATTATACAATAAATTTACAATATATTTTTTTGGAAATAGGCTTATTTGCTTTCTTGAGAGTGAATATAGTGGTCTCATATCTGCTTAATATAAAGCATACACCAGCAGCTGGTTAGACAAAATCTGCCTACCAGCATTGTTATATTGTTGTTATATGTGGGACTATTTCTTGTCTGGGCACATTCATTTCCATTTCAGGGTGCCTGGCAACCTCGCAATGACATCAAAACTCCAGTAACAGTGACCAACCAAGAAATAGAAAATGAAAAAAATTTTAATAAGTGAGCTTTAGAGGTGGAGGTTTTGTTACCTTTGGACAAAGCCAGGCTAGCTGTTTCTCCCTGTTTTCAGTCTTTGTGTGAAACTAAGTTAACCGACTTCTGGCTGCAGAACAGACAAAATGTTGAACTATTTCTTTAATAACATAGAACAACATATTTCTACGGCATTGACATAGTTTGACATTATGTTGACTTTTAAGACAACAAGCTTTTGATGCATTACATTGTGGACACAATGGCATGATGGGCCAGAAGAATTCTTTAAGGTAACACAGATTCTTGACCTTCAGGACAGAATGGGCTCATTATGACCCACTCAAAACGAGTGTCAAGAGGACAAACTGTGCAGACAGTGAACGAGACACTCAGGGTCAGTCTAATGTCTGTGTACTGATGGATCCTCTTCAAAAAGCTGTCTGATCTTTGCTCTCTCCTCCTCATTAAAGCACCAGGGTATGATAAGCCATAATTATTGTGTTTTATAAAGCTTTAACATTTAAACTTTGTTGTTGTTGTAGTTTTTATTCTAGCTGTTTGTCTGAAAGAATTGAGATACATCCTAAAATAATTAATATTAGAATATTTGAAATTCGACTGTTTGCCAACCCCTCTCCTGAACAACGCTGGCAGGTGTCAAGTTTTGGCACGTTTTTTTTTTTTAACCCTTTCCTAAACCAAAAATACAAGAGCAAAATTATATAGAACAGTGAACATGTTTGCATGTCCGGATTGTAAGCCAGATACAATCTTACATATATACATATCTTATATATATGAAATGTATAAGAGACATTTCTGTGCCGGGACCTTCACATCCCATTGCAGTGGATGTGGTATTCCTGATGTAAGTGTTTTATTCTCTGAGTCTGACTAATGCATCACTGCCTTTGACTGCCATATTTAACATGCAAACAAATCTTCCTCTTTATATGGAGAACCTCTGAGAGCAGGAGAGTACACTGCTGCTCAAATCAAAACAGTCACGACTCTAATATTATACTGATACCATATGACAGAAACATTACAAACTCCCTGAAGTAGGTGTAGGCACAATACAACATGATGAAGAGGAAATAAAGGTACTAGGTTAGGAATTCAATATTGAGATACAGGAAAGACCATTTTACTTCTGATATGTTTAAACATATTAATGTTGTAACTTTATTTACTAAAAAGTCCCTTAATATTATAGGAATATTATACAGGAATTTTAATGATGATATTAAGTATAAATATTTTCTTTAAAAGCTACATTGCATTAAAATACTCTTCTTTGCTATTCTTTACCTCATGAATGATGTCTGGAGCCGTTTTATAACAGCTGCCTTCCTTAGACACAAACCTATAATTAACTCCATGCTAAATTATGCAAAAGGAAATTAAATTGTCAACGCAGTTTTAGGGATGAAAAACTAAATGAGCCAATTTGAAGTTGGAAGAGACATTTATTTTTATTTTCAAGAAGTTGGAAGAGACATCTCTTTTTATTTTCAAGAAGTTGGAAGAGACATCTCTTTTTATTTTCAAGATGATATCAGATCATGCTTTTCTCAGGTTTCACCAACCAGTGTGTAAATCTGTCTGTCAAATTTAATTGGATCTGTCTGGATGTTGTTGGATCTTGAAATCTCTGGTGAACTTAAAACTTCACAGATCTGAAATAATGTTTCTTTAGCTATAATAAAAGATCATGTTAAAAGAAGTAGCTTGAAAAACGGTAGCAAAACTGACCTTTACAGACATTAAATGTATTTATTGTTACTTTTAAGAAACATAATATCTAGTCTTTAGATCTGTGCATTTACCTGCAGGAGTGTGTCTTTGATTATATGTACCTTTATGACAAAAGGATCCAGTGTAGGCAGACTGGCCACAGTCGCAGGAGAAACCACTGGCTCTCTCCACACAGCGACCCTGGTTCTGGCAAAGCGAGCCGTAGCTGCTGCAGTGGCCCGGGCATCCAGGTCGGACCCCTGGGGTGATCTTGGCCCTCTCTTCCAGGTCCAGAGTGACGCCGTTCAGCTGCAGAGAGCGAATGCAGCCCAAAAAGCCTTTCTGTCTGGACGCAGTTCCTCCTGCCAACAAAAGAAGAATCACTGGTCAAATGATACACTACCTTTCTCCACTGAGTTGTGTTGGATCTGACCAACATTAGATATCAGAGCATAGAACCTGCCCAGTACCAGTCACATGTGTAACATGTTCCTCTTCGTCTTCTGTCTTCAACAATAAAAAATATGAACAAAGTCTTGTATAATGTTACATCCAATGCAAAAAGTATTCACTTATACTTTCACTTAGACTGTCAGTATCATGAGGCTGACTGAAAAATAATTTGAAAATGAAAAAAAGCCTGGTTGCAATAAGCTTCAATCAGTCACTGGGTGTCAAGCCTATTGAACTGAGTGCCCTGTCAGTCTCAATGATCGGTTTAGCTGGAGAAGTGAAGGGGCCAATTCAGTATTCATTACAGCATAACTTTTCATTGGGCGGAAAAGGCAATGATGGTCACACTCTTCCTCTCATTGTGTCTTTGTATGACTGTAAATCAATAATATCTTTGTCTTCCCTGCAGTAAATTATGATTGACAACCACATGTTGCCACTGCAGCACAACAAGACCATGTCTGCTCTGCAGGGCACTGAGACAATGACACTGCTTATATCACTGTGCTGGCTGTTGACTGGCTAACTGAGTGGCTGATGAGCCATCTGGTGTCTGATATTCATCCTTTCCACTAACAGGCCTCCTCCTTTCACCTGACAATTATTATTCTAATATACTGTAGCGACCTCACACTGTTCACAGAGTTCAGAGTTGGCAAAATTACATTTCTCCCAGAGTTCCAAGCTGGCGACGTCTAATTTTATATGCACGCATGACAGTTGTTATTGTTCTCGCAGACTAGAATTGGCAGGGTGTTACTCTCGCAGTTTGAATCTGGAGAAGTTTCAAATGTTCAGCCAGAGCAGCTTTTAATACCCCTATATCACAAACCTCTGTGAGGCTCTAGTCTCCTTCTGCAGCACAAGTTAGAAAACAGACAACACTGAGAGCACAAAGAGTGAGAAATTTAATTAAATATTCTCTAAACAACTCAATAATAAACTGGTTGATTACACGAGGACAGCAAACCTCTATTAAATGATAGGATGTGGCATTTCTAGAACATACTGGTTGTGACTGCAAAAAAGGATCAAATCCTTAGTGCACTTTGGCTAAAAGAACAGTGGCAGACTCCTGAGGGACAAAACCTCTGACCAAGGGAAAGAAACAAAGCACAGAAGCTGCCAAAGAAAAAAGTCCCGCGGGAGTCAAAAGAAAAACCCTGTATATGACCGTGAGAGTTCAGGCACTTAAGCAGCTTTAGAGGCTCATCACATGGAGTTAGAATACAAAAAGCAAGACCAAGAACTTAACTGTTTCATTACAGTTTCATTTACTGTCACATCCTGGACCTGGTCTCGTGCTCCAAGGTGGGGGCCTCGAGCCCAGGATAAATCTACACTACTTAAGGGATATTTGGTGTGTCGGATCATCTAAAGCTGTTTTATTTAATCATCATTTCGTATTCCCAAACACCTTTAATCACAGGGCCCTTTTTTTTTCATCTTTT